TAGAATAATAATGTAAAAGACAGACTGGTCACTTCTTTCAGTATCATTTTCCTGTCGGTTTCTATCTGAGACAAAAGGGACGCGCAACAAAAACAAGCGAACATACACTGTGAGTGGGGACATACACAGACAATAAATATCCTTTCGGGTTTAAGACGAATTTTAAAATTTCGATAGTTTTCTAGTTTATCCATGGTTAAAACATCACCATGTTTACTTAATCCAAATGCAAACGAAGATTTTATCTAGAGCTTATACAAATTTTGAAATGAATCAATATTTGAGACGTCTTATGCATCCCAAATCTCGTGCAATATGGTTGTTTCACACCCGTCCAGTCGCCCAGTTAGGGCTAGTTTTTGACTAAAAAATTCTCTATGTGGTATAGCATAAAATAAAATTTACTGAGCTACCATATCTTTGGCAAAAGTAATGATTTTGCAAACTGTTTAGCTATTATTGTAAACGTCCACAATCTTCGTACACCAACGAATATTTCAAATTCAAGCAAGATGTCGAACTCTTCAATTGATTCATTTACATTCGTCTTGACCCTTAATTACAAACCAGAATCATTGTGTCGAATATTTTAAAGAAATTGTCATGTTCCCATGTGTCTGCATAACCCATTAACGACTTGTTGGACAAACAATATAATACTAGTAGAGTAGAACTGGCTCAATTTAACTACATCCAAGTTTCCCTCTATATAAACCAGTTTTCTGCATTCATTCGAAATATAACCCCTCCTTTAAACAAAAAATTAGTCTTGGATAAATCGATAATCATGACCCATAATAATTTAAAGTATTTATCTCTCGTTGAAACTTTTAAAAATAATCTATATAATTTTAAAACAACAAACAGCAAACAAAGAATCTCAATTAAATCTGGTGACAGCTGAACACCTTGACCCAAAGCCTGTAATGTTAATTCGTTTTTGAAAAAGGAACGACTTACTATAAATAAACATACATCCTTGTCTTACGCCAGAAAGGCAATCAAATAGCTCAATGCAATCATTCAACAATATTGGGATACATGCTAAACAGCATTTAAACATTTTCCCTTAATGCCACCATTCAACAAAATGTACAACTTTTGGCTAGATGGAGTATAGTCTTTGGATGATTGGAAAACAACAACACTGTCCATTATTATTTTTTTCTTCTAATGATGTGACGAATGTAATTCCGCACAGTGATGGGTTAGTCATTCACAGTGGACCGACCACAAGTACGTTTGTATTAACTATCCTTGCGGCCGCCTATATTCTAAGGTCCTTCGAAATCCTATAATTAATATTATTAAATTATGCATGGCATCGTATGGGAGATATTATGAGGGTGGCCGTAATTGGAACTTGAAGAAACGATATCAAGTTAATGATTGAGCACTTTAACAAATAATTCTGATGGTTTGAATCCTATACAGTTTTTACCAAAATGGTTACTTCACTATTTATTTATTCATTAACACTTACTCACTCCGAGTCCCCGGAGAGAGTGGCAATGGTTACAGATAATAGTAAAAGAATACAGCACCAATGCACTAATAAGGAAGTAATAAAAAATAAATTGTTAAATCTACAAAAACAGAATATTAATAGGAAAAAAATAAAAGAAAATTAATGGTAACTTGTGTATAGAACTTATTTAGAATACCGTGACAGTGGGCGCTAAAACACGAGCCTATACTTCTTTAACCCCTAGGCCTTATTCAGCTTCTTGTCCAGCGTTTCATCAAATATGCCAACTGAAATACCTAGATGTTTTGGAGATTTTCCAAAAAATAATGCACATTATGTACGCCACGCAATGTGCTACTATAAGCATGGAGTCAGTTTTAGGTGGCTTCGGTCACGCCCGAAATAGTATGGTCGTTCAACTTTGACCTAAGTTGCCAGTATATTATTACATGTACAAAACCTACCACCTATAATACTTAGTAATGCGATGATACATTTGTCACACGTGTTTCTACCTTCAGGATAAAAAAAATATCATGTGTGCGCACCGGCTGCTGGGACCCGCCAGCTGTGACGTAGCGTGGTCGATATACAAAACAATGTACCAGTATAAGGAAACAATATGCCGTTATACATGTATATGTTAATCGGTGTAGCGCGTACACGACAGAGCGGGCAAGCGGCTGATAATGAAAAATCGCTGCCTTCTACAAATGTAAATCATCCAAATTTAGAAGTTACAATGAGATTCAAATGTTGAAATTAATCACAATGCCGAAGACTATGCATGAATATGTCGCTGTACTGAAAATTGGCTTAGTGAACTTAAAAAAAAGAGTAGCTTCAAAATTACAGCAAAAACTGGGGTATTTTTAAAACAACTCATCTAACGGGGCAATCATATTCCATTTCGAACAACTGTGGTTCAACGAATGCCTGAAAAATGCAGAACTTCCATCAGGGTATTACTATAAATGCGTATGTCGTGAATGATGGCACGCACAACAACACGAAGCCATTATCCATACCACCACAGTCACCAAACTAGGGGGTCCAACCTGGTCTACGGGATTTCACATCTAACGTATATAAAAATCAGGGGCATGCGGAATCCTCGTGAAGACTGCTGGTGTATGGCAGGCGAATATTTTCATCGGTGACAAGAAAAACTCCGCTGGATTTAAACACTGATACCTTCGTAGCAGATCCAGGGTGCGAGATCATCACCAAGGAACCAAATCCAAGTGGAGTATACGCTGAAAACAAACTGTCGTGCAGCAAGTACGAAGCCACAAGCCATTGTTTCAACGGCGTCTTTTGTTCGTTTGCTGAGCTGCGATCGTGGGAAGGCTTGTTGTCCCTGTACCGGGTTCTGTCTGCCCACATCACTTCCGTGCCATTTTGTCGAAGATTTCCTACGTGACTATTGAGTTTAGAAGTTCACTGATCAACGTTTGCTAACATGAAGTCTATATCTACCTAAAAAAGCTTGCTTTACGTTTTTAAACATCGAAATCCGTTCAGTATTTGTGCAAATTCGGACGCCGTCCTGTCGAACTATCTACACACAGCCATATTGGATTTTTAATATTAATCGAGTGTAGCGTCCATTGTAAAATCCACACAGTATACGGACTCTCTGAAACTGACTCCCTAGTGCTCACCGGAACAGTGAACACAGCTGCATCTTACAGATTCTGCACATTTTGAGACAGTTTACCTGTATGTGTGTCGAATTTTTAAAATTGAAATGAATGAATGGACCTAGTCTGCTGCATGGACTTGTTCATGTCTGATCTCGCCAGTCTATTCATTGCGTTGGAATACATTATCTGGTTACATGGACAATTGAATGTGTTTTCTAGTTCGGACGTATATATTTTTTAATAATACTTTTATTTAAAACGCACAGAACGGTATTTATTGCCCACAGTCTGTGCGCAACTGATGAGGTGAAAAGTATTCTTGTCTCGCGCGCCGGTAGCGTTGATCGTCGTAAACCAGGAAGTAGCAGCCATGTTGCTCTGAGTGTGTAAACAAACACGAGAGAGTTTAAATGATGGCGCTTGCTTTTGACTTGCGTACGTTTTGTCAGAACCTGCGAGCTACCAAGCCGCCGTACGAATGTCCGGTGAAAGAATGCGCCAGAGTGTACAAAAGTTACTCTGGTATGGAATATCATTTATATAATTTTGATCATGATAATCCTGGCAATAACAACAACAATGCAACCAAACCAACCAGTGACGCAAAAGGTGCTTACAGGAAGGGGAAATATCATCATAGAAGTAAAAGAAGATCTCCTTCACCCCCACCATCAACAATAGCAGTTGCTGCAGCAGTGGCAGCATCCCCTCCAATCTTGCCTTCCTCACCACCGCCTGTTGAATTTGTGCGATCACCAACAAGAGAAGCTCTGACATATGCACAGGCTCAGAGATTAGTTGAAGTTGACATAGAAGGCCACACACATAGACTTGATATATATGATCCTATTGAAGTAATGACTCAAGACGAAATGGAAAAGACAGAACCTGATGCTAAGGAAGAGACCAAAGAAAAATCTACTTCTAAAGGGAAATGCAAAGAGTCTGGAAAAGTCAGAAAAGAAACCAGTTCTTCCATATCAACTAAACTGCCAGAAGCCTCGTTTCGTGTTCTGGACGAGTATATTGATCCACCTGATGCTCCTAAAAGACCAGCTGCCTACTATAGGTATATTGAAAAATCGGTTGATGAACTTGATGATGAAATAGAGTACGACATGGATGAAGAAGACTATGCATGGTTAACCATGATCAATGATAAACGCAAGACTCAGACCTTGCATTCAGTGACACAAGAAGTATTTGAAACTTTAATGGACAGATTGGAAAAAGAGTCGTACTTTGAAAGTCAGACATCTGGCAGGGGAGATCCTAACTTGTTCATAGATGAAGATGCCGTGTGTTGTATATGTAGTGATGGTGAATGTCAAAACAGTAATGTTATTCTCTTCTGTGATATGTGTAATTTAGCTGTACACCAGGAATGCTATGGTGTTCCGTACATCCCTGAGGGACAGTGGTTATGTCGGAGATGTCTGCAGTCTCCCTCACGAGCTGTTGATTGTGCATTATGTCCAAATAAAGGTGGTGCATTTAAACAAACTGATGATGGACACTGGGCACATGTTGTTTGTGCGTTATGGATTCCGGAAGTTTGTTTTGCAAATACTGTTTTTCTTGAACCTATCGACAGCATTGACCATATTCCCTCTGCTCGATGGAAACTTACATGTTATATCTGCAAGCAGCGAGGCACAGGGGCATGTATTCAGTGTCACAAAGCCAACTGTTATACTGCATTCCATGTTACTTGTGCACAACAAGCAGGCTTGTATATGAAAATGGAACCAGTAAGAGAAACAGGAGCCAATGGAACCACAGTCAGCGTGAGAAAAACTGCCTATTGTGATATTCATACTCCTGCAGGAAATGAAAAACATCCAGAAAAAGGTGGGGGAGATGGCAAAGGAAAAGGCAAAGCCTGGATTGCAAAGAAAGTGAAAGCAGAGTCAAGAAAGAACATGCGAAAAGCCAGAAAGATTTTGGCAGAAAAGCGATCAGCAATGCCGATTGTTTCAATACCACATATACCCCAACACAGGTAAGACTAGTTAGGCCAAATAACAAGTGCTATTTTATGGTTTTGTTTATTTAATAATTTAATTCAAATAAAAGCTGATTACACTGTTGATAACTGTGTAAGGTCATTGACCTGAATGAGGTGATTGTTTGACCTAGTTTTTGTGTTTATTCAATTTATGCTATACTGATATCATTCAGAGCTTTGGTATGTGTAAACAGTAGGCTAGTTGAAATACAGTTTATTTCTATATTTATATGGCGGAGGATATAATCTGATTCAGCTTTTATTTTCACTTATGGTTAATTTTCGTATCTTGTTTCTTCCTTTTTGCATGAAGCTTAGCTTGAACCTTTTGAAAACCATTGTAGGATATCCTATAAATTAAAATGAATTCTGACAAAAAGGAATTTGTTACTAGATTAAAATTTAGATCAATAATTCAAAGTTGCATGACTAAAATCTTTGGTGATCCAGCATTCTAACCTTTCAACTCAAGCTGAGAGTGATGCATTGACTGAGCAAATGTTATGATTTATATGTATTTTTTTATAGCACTTTTTTTTCTTGCTATATCCTGTAGTTGTGTTTATGTCACAAGCGAAAATTTAAAATTAATAGAAACTGAAAAGTACTGAAAAACCAAAACAGTTTCATGTAAACAAAACTATAAACTTTTAGTTTGTACAATCTACTCTTGTAGATTAATAAATGATATATACAAAGGATACATTTGTATTTACAAATATGGGATTACAATGATTGATTAAAGTTTGCAGATGAATTTAAATCTCAAGCCACACCCCTAATGTAAAGATGCTCTAATAGAAACCACATCTCCTCTGTTGTATTGTACCATTTTAATTAATATAAGCCGCAGCTTCTAATACAGATTTTACAGTACAGGTAATTTACAATCAAATCAAGGTTTGTAGACTGACAAATGAAATTTTGTACTTGTCAAAAATGTTGAGTGCCTGCCTGTCTACAAGGCAGGAGTCAGCAAGCTGACTAAAAACCTCATTGCCATAAATTTGTTCTTAACTCATGGGAAATCGTTCACACCATGCTATGGCAGTTTAAATTTGTTGTCATTGTAAAAATTTCATTCTCATTATCTTTATTGCAAATAAGTGGTTACAATTTGTTTCATACAGAATCAGCAAAATCACTAGCAAAGTACATTGTCAGAAGAAAAACGAGTTCTTCCAAAGGCTACAGGGTTATTGGACTTTAAAAAGGCAATCTAGGAATGGTGTACCATTGCTAAGGCGACTCCAAGCCCATCATCAATCACAGAGAAATAAAGAACAGGTATTTCATATTCATTTACTTTCCGTTGTTTGATTTAAGTTTAATATCTTTTTGGTCAGTCCATCATTCTATTTGTAATCGATATTTTATTTTAGTTCTTAGTAGTTGTTCCATTTATTAAATAAAAGGCTGGACTGAATACAGCTTTTGTGGCCTAAGGTCATTCGGCGAAAGTGCGCGAGCTTGCAAAGATTAGTTAGCCGCATGACCGAGTGCAGTGTGTTAGTCACTCGCACAACAAATTACCAAAATGAAAATTCTTCTTAGGTTAATAATGTTAGTAAAATAATGTTTTACAAAACCAGTTGCCCCGTGCCAATGAACAAATGCAAGTGTTCACAAATAATATGCACATTTCATTACAATATTGTTGATGTACAGATGTAAAAATGTTAATGTAAACAATTGTTTTGGGTCTGTGGGAAAAGTGGGTCACATTTGTTGCATTTTCGGAAGGAGTAGGTGCAAGTCAAAATTGACCACATAAATAGAAGTTTCTTTAATTTCCATTGGATCTGTTCAGTTGTCCTTTCAAGTTTTTGTCGCATAATTTCGGCAACCATTTTTGAGCTATCAATCTATCGCAGTATTTATGTCAGGGCTCAATCCTATCAGAGTTCGACCTTCAAGGTTTATTAGAGCTGAACTTCACCTGAGCCAAACGTGTATACATGGCCATTTTTGGTGGCTCAAGCCATAGGGTTCTGATAAAATGTTGTCGTGTAGTCGTAGCAAATTAACTCAATAAAATCATTGTGTCAGTATCTCAGTATTGTGCTTGCAGTATATTACTGATAGTAATCGCTGAGTAGCTATCTTTATATTTTTCTTGTATTTTGTTTTCATCAGAGGGAAAATATGGAGAAGAGCAATGCATTGAAAGAACAGCTGAAATACTGGCAGAGGTTGAGACATGATTTAGAACGGGCACGATTATTAGTGGAATTAATTCGCAAAAGAGAGAAACTAAAACGAGAACAGGTAGGTTTTTTATTTTGCAGTTTGTTCAAGTTGTGAAAAAGCATGTCCAGATTCTCATACTCTCTCGTTTGCATTGATTTGTGTGTTGGAAAACTATTGCTGAAGCAAAAGACTGATGCGTAATATCAATATCATTAAATTATGTACTGTCATTTAATTAATAAGTTGTGCAGGGCAGTCATATTTTACCTACAGGTTTCCTGCATGTATTTAGAACATCTATGTGTTCTTTTATGTTTGTAGATAAAAGTTAATCAATTCACAGTTGATATGCAGTTACAGCCATTTAATATTTTATTGAAACGAACACTGGACCAACTTGAAGAGAAAGACACTAGTAGAATCTTTGCTGAACCAGTTTCACCTGATGAGGTATGACCAACCAATAAATACTCTGCATGAAACAAATCTGTTGCTGTACAAATTATAGATCATAACTGTGTGTAGCTGTCTGTCTGTCTGTCTGTCCATTCAAAAAGACAATATTATCAGATTGAAACATTCTGTCTGATGCGGTATTGTGGTCAGTCAAGTTGGTAAAATGTGGTATTCACTCTGCCTGCCACAAGGTGATCAATCTGGTAAAATGCAGTACCCTCGATATTGTGATCAGGCAAGTCAGTGAAATGCAGTTTAATTTGACAGGGCTGTATTATGGGGGTCTTGAGTAACCTGTGATCATGACTAAGCAGTAATTTGAAAATCTGACAATAGGATACACTTGAAACTTAGATATAGTTATCAACACATTCTCTACTCCACATATACATTACAAGTGTCTTTGTTCTGAGATGTGTACTACTTGCAATATTTATAAGAGCAGATTCTTCATCTTTCAGTATGTCTTTTTGACAGGTGCCTGACTACCTGGATGTGATCACAGAGCCAATGGACTTCTCAACAATTCGTACAAGGCTTGAAAATCATTTTTATAAAACCATTGATGATTTTGAGAAAGACTTTGATTTGATGATCAGTAACTGTATGACTTATAACGCCAAAGATACAATATTTTATAGAGCAGCTATCAAGCTTAGGGATATGGTAAGCAAACATAGTTTTAAACCATGTTGTATTGTTGATGATTAATAATTATCTGATGCCTTTGACTGCAAAGTACTTAAAACTGATGTGATATTGTTACCATGTTCACACGTGTGCCACAGAGCTGGCTTGACTAACTTGGTAAACAGTTGTTTGGTTTTAATGGGTCCTGTGTTTAAATGTGTATAAAGACTAAACTGAGCCTGTGTTGTAATTGTTCGCCATGTTTCTTTAAAATACTTGCGTACTTATGAATCAAGGCTTACATCAAGGGCGTTATTGTTCGCAAATGTGAACACGGTATATGTGTAATCCAGTATACCTTTACAATCCTAAATAAATAAATAAATAAATATAAATCACGGTATATATTACAATGTGTCAATTTTAAAATTGGGGTCAAAAGCTCAAGTTCGAGGTGCATATTGCAAAAAAATACTCATTCAATGTAATATGCATTTAAAACAAAAGTTTCAAATAAAAAACAAACACGAATGCATTGCTTAGTAGCAAATGATCACGGTACTGTAGCACAATCTGGCGATGCTGCAGCTCACAATTGAATAACTTGTTTTCGAAGTGTTGAAGTTGTCGATTATTACTCTGTAGTGATTATAATAACGCACGAGAAATAAATTTGTTGAATTGTTATGAAATGCAAGTAAAATTCAACTTAGTTTCACTGTAAGCGAATGATTTCGGTCACATGTAAACGCTTGATGCGATATGATATCCGCCATATTGTTTGAATGTACACAAGACTGTTTATTGACCGGATAGGTCAAGTCGCTAATTAACCAATCAAAATGCTGGATGGTGCAAACGAATTACCATAGCTCATTTAAATATGTTAATGACAGTTCAACAACTTCATGATGGACGCAACACGGAAGAGATTTACCAATAATGTAGTGTGATCTTTTGACTTTGATTTCCATGAGAAAACCACATGATTTTTTTAAAATCAAAAACAATTTTTTTTTCAAAAGATAAACTGAGCATTGAAGAAGAATTTAACACTTTTACGGTGATAAAAGCTCATTATTGAAAACTTATACAGACGTATAAGGAGTATTGACGAAGGTTGTCGCCAGAACAAAATCAGTTGCACTGCGTGTCTGACATATTATCACCGCTGAACAATAAATAGGTGTGAATATTTTTAGGCAATTGTCGAAACAAATGAATAGGATTAGGAACAATGCCGTTTTGGACCAGCTGGTTGAAACAATGAAGTCAGTCACGATCTTGTTGAATTGGGGGTGCGGTTAGTAATAGGTACTTTTCATGTTTTCAATTTTTAAGAATTCTTTAACCCCAAAGCCGGAATTGGGTTTGTGGTTACTATTACGTATGCGGTTTATAATAGGATTTTAATGGTAATTGAATAAATTTCTTTTTAAGGGTGGTGCCACTATCAGGTGTGCCAAGCGACAAGCTGAGAAAGCTGGCTATGATCCACAGACTGGTTTACATCTTGCCAAGGCTCCAAATGTCCAACAAGCTGAGATAACAGTGGAAGAAGGTGGGTTGTCAAAATCAGCAATTTAAAATCTGTATCCCATTTAGGAGTGTTCATTCAATGTAGCCCCCCCCCCACTAAATGCTATAGAGAACTAACCAGCTATACAAAATCACATTCAAATTATACTTGCCCCCCCCCCACCCCCCCACCCCTCTACCCCCTACTTGTTGGCCAACATACTACTACTGTCAACATATATTGCCACTCAATTTTAATTAAAATATCTGATAAAATGATAATAAATACTAAAATACCATAAGAAGTGTTTTTAATGTTTTTTTTTTTTATTGTTGATAGTTGACAGTTTTCTGGATTCTGGTAAGCGTGCTGATATGTCATTGGAGAACCAACTGAGAGAATTATTAGAGAAATTAGACATGACATGTTCCATAAAACATGGAGGTACATAATCTGTTTTGTCAAAGCAAAGCCTATGTTATAGGCCTATATTATACATAATACTGAATCACACACCTGCTATTGAATCTGACTTCTATTTATGCGACTTTGGTCATTACAGGAACTCGTTCTAAGAGAGCCAAACAACTGAAAAAGGAGATAAATACTATAAGGCGAAAATTGAGTCATCAGAGGGAGCAGAAACTGTTGGGAAAAAATTCTGCTTCTGACAAACCTAAAAAGAAAAAAGGGCGTCCACAGAAAGAGAAACCTATTGCTAGTAGTAGTAGTAACAGCAGTACAACTGCTAGTAGCAGTAGTAGTTCAGAAGATACCTCAAGTAAGTTTTTTTATTCTTGTCTTCAAGTGAACCTGGACTGTATCATGTCAGCCACCGAGGTGGGGCTAATTTTAAAGCCTCTATGTGTAGGAAGTCTGAATATGGAAACTTGAGTTCAATCAGTTTGTATGTCTGTCTTCACATATATACTGATTTTCAAACTTTGGTCAATCGAAAAGACAAAGATTTTCTCTCAACTGGAGGTCTCTACAATAAAAAATTTGATCTGAGTGAGTGTAGCTTTAAGGTTGATCAATACATTATCATGATTCTTATGTACCGTATTTGTCTGTTGCAATGCTATGGGCAATCTTTTGGAGATGAGCATATTTTTCGGCAAGTGCTGGCTCCTTTTTCCATGTTTTGTTCATCACTTTCAATCCATTATAACCTAAATACAATAGTCATGACAGAAGAAAAGATTTGTGTTTACAAATTACAAATAGGTGATCTCAAGCGTATTGCAGTAAATTTTCCAAGTTAGGTGACACTAGATAGAGCGCTAGGTAAGAGTGGGTAAAAAATGTTGGTGTTCCATGGTTTTAATTTTGTTGGTACTGAAAAGTATAGAAGGAGTTTCCAATGAACATTAACATATTGCATTAGTAGCAAAAGGTCGTAGTAGTGTAATCCAGTCATGCTATTTCACAGGCAATTAACTTGATTTCAAGTTACAAATATTAATTATAATGATACATTGGCTACCTGGCAAAACCTTCCCATAGGCATAGTTTTGGATTGGCATGGTATTGGACAAATATGCTACATAATGTATTCTGTGCAGATAAAACAGTAAAGACACTTTATATAATTTCTTTCTGATAGGTTCAGACTCGAGCGATTCTGCATCAGCTAATAATGCCTCAACAACAACAACAACAGTGACCAAGAAAACTAAAACATCAGCTAAACTTCCAATATTACCATCCTCTAGGACATTACAAAGAAGTCAGTCCCTCTCTCCTGGAAGGGGACGTGGTCGTGGTAGAAAACCCAAACGCTTCAAATCTGATTCTGAAGCTCCCTTGATTACAGGACATAGTAGAAATTCATTTACCGTGGAACCAATTCCTGAATCAAGTCCACCTGTGGGTGGCAATGGTGCAACATTAGGACTATCAACGCAAGGTGTTGGACGCCGCACAGCAGTACTATTTAGTAAAAAGGCAGGAAAGAAATCAGCATTTCTTAAAGAGACACAAAGGCGACCTGGCAGGCCTCCTGGTCGACCTCCGAAACACAAACCTGACATTACAGGAGCCGAACTAAGTAAAAAATCTCCAGGTAGAATTTCACAGGATGGAAGTCTACATGTGGAGACAGAGTATGAAGGGAACTTGCCTCCATCTAATGTACCACAGCCGCATGGACGTAAACGAGGCCGTAGTACAAGTTCAAGTAGTATTGACAGTACAAATCCAGCACAGCCACACACTGCCACCTTGACCAATGGCTTTGATGCTGGAAAGCAACAAAGTAAAAGCTTTACTGTGTATAGAACTGATCATAGCCGTCCCAGGAGTAGTTCGGATTCAGATAGCAGCACAACAAGTACCAGTGGTAGCGGAACATCTACCACCTCATCATCTGATTCAAATTCCAGCAGTTCTGATGATTCAAATCCAAAGAAACCCCGCAAGTTGAAAGTAAACTTTACAGAGGACAGTGAAGGAGATACATCTTGTGGTGAAAGTGCTAGTACAAGTGCCCGACTCAATGGGACAAATAGAACCAATTTGCTAAGAGGTAAGTGGGTTTTCTTACCTTGCGTTAGAAATCTATTTAGTTTGCTATACACCATTTATTTTATCGTCTTCCATACATTGTCTCTACAATGCACACTTAGCTGTAACACTTGCTATTAAAGACTGCATCCCCATTAGTGCCTAATGCTTGCTGCTCTGTCTGCATCCTAGTCCTTGCTTGATCTGTAGCATTTAAATTAAATTGAAGCTCTGACGTAACGTATAATTTCTGCACCATTTTCCGTCCCTTCTTCAGAGCTGAACAAAAGACGGTCCAGTACTAATTGGGCATCCGATGAAGACGACATACCTTTGCAGCCTTTAGATCTTGTGTGGGCTAAATGTAGAGGCTATCCTTCATATCCGGCACTGGTAAGCAGCTCATACACTTCATCATCCCTGTTTATAAATATTTTTTGGTTTTTAAGGAGAAACTTTCGACAAGATTCAACTGGGTGAAAGAAAAAATAAAATGTCACGGCAGTGTTTCACTTTAAATTTGTACACGCTAAAAATGCTGATTGAATGAGAGTGAATGATAGGATGCTAACATTCTTGTACTTATGCCAAAGCTGTATTGATTTTTTGCTACCTTTCATTAATTTTGCCCATATTATTTCATACAATTATTGTTCATCGTACTTCATTGTGGAAGACCAGCATTCTAATTTTGTTTGTTTTATTTCATTTAGATAATCAACCCAAAGATGCCAAGGACAGAATATTACCACAATGGAGTGCCGATTCCAGTCCCACCGGTGGAAGTACTTCGCAACAAACAGCATTCTGATGAACATTTATATTTGGTGCTATTTTTTGACAACAAGAGAACATGGTTAGTTTAATTTTTGATTTGTTACAAAAAACATCTACTTAGCATGGAATGATTTAGTTCGTTCAAACATCCAATAAATTTGTTGTGATTTCTGGCTTTAATGGGCTTTTAAATGTTATGCCTGTGTCACTTTGTTAACAAACATCCATTTTTCATCATAGCTATCCATATATTATTGAAACACCTAGGGGATTTGTAACAAGTCATTGAAGTAAAAATTACTCTTCTGGATATAAAGTCTGACTAAGATTAAATGTCATGGCTGTTGGCAGATACGGTACATTTTATTTTCGAGAGGATGAGGACTTTTATATTCTGAAGAATCAGAGTATGACGGTTTTATCTGACATGAAATCTACCGTCCAAAATTTAGATATATATATTTGAATTTTTTTTTATACTTTTAAAGGCATTCAGTGAGTCTGTCAACAATTTTGCATGAATTTCGTACTCGGAAAGGAAAACATTTTGATAGGTTGAGAAGCACTACATAGATTTAAGTGCGATGTTTTAAGACCTGTAATATTTGCATATTTAGTTAGCATAATCACTGATCGAAAACGTTGGATGAGGTGATTGTTTACCCCAAATACACTGTCTTATTTCTGCTATTCCATTTTTGCCCTCATGATTATATATTGCAATGAAATATGCTACAAAGTAGTTATTAATATCATGTTACTAAATGTACAAAATGTGTTCCCTTGGATTGTACTATTATTGTTATGGGTTCTAGATCATAGAAAGTGAACATTAGGCTGGCTAATATCATGGTGTGTAGATGACATGTTTGATTTGTATACCATGAAGCAAAACATTGAAAAGGTTCGTTTTTCAAAATCGATGTGCATGTATATTTCTGCGTGCAGTATCCAATACAAATCATTGAGGTAACCCTGTCTGTGTGTCTGTATGGTATGTGTTTTACCGCCGATATTTTAAGAACCACTAAATTAGATTTCAATAAAACTTGTCATTGGGATAATTTGCATGCCTGATATATTTTTGGCTTTGCATATTAATTACCTAATTATGAGCCATTTTTAAGAATAGCTTAATAGTTTAAAAAGAATTGTGGTACATGTGTGATCTGGGTGATCCACAGATGCGATTACTTGCGGGTTGATATCCATGCACATGTTTATTAATTTTCTGATATTTCAACCACTATCAGAACAGGTTTTTTCCTGAAAATTGTTGTTTTGAACAAAAAACAAATACTGCTAATGGGCATCTGATTGTGCAATGACAAACATGAATATTTTTTCTGGTCCTCAAGTCACAGGTTTTTTTTCTCTTTCTAATATTTCTAAGTGTTACATTTTAGGTTATAACTAATTATCATTATTTCTACTAGATCTGTTGTAATAATGATTTCGTTAGATATTTGAGCAAGTTCATTCAGTACCGGTAATATAGGTCCATTGCATGCCAGCTTGCTTCAGACTAATATTTTAATTTGAAATTAATTAAATAAATGGGTAGCTTCCATTGTCATCTGGTGGGAAACATTACGTTTTTTTGTACCAATATGTAATTGCATCTGTGATGGAGTTAGTTGTCATGATGTGTGATGGTGTTTTTACCTCACCAGGCTTCATTTTATTTCAACAGGCAGTGGCTTCCTCGGACTAAGTTGGAACCCCTTGGTGTAGATTCAGGGCTTGATAATGCAAAGCTAATGGAAGGGAGGAAGTCATCAATAAGAAAGTCTGTGCAGCAGGCGTATGACAGAGCTGTACTGCATCGGCGGCGTGTGACTGGTGAAACTGCAGAAGGTAGTTCGAGTGAAACCAGTGAGGAGATTCATGAGTAAAATAAAGCTTGCTTATCCTGATATTTTAACTGACTGTAATTTAGACAATTCAAAACTGAAATGCTAACGTAATTGCTGGCTATGTATGTCTTGTTGTAATATTGAATATCATTACAGTTTTGGAAATGGAGAGTGTTGTTGTTGGTCTCGATATGTAAAAACACATAATACCAATGAACTGTTCTTGTGTATGTAATTCATTGATCAATGAGAACCCATGATGTCATGTATATATATATATATATCTGCACACATCTCAGGGAATCCAGTTTTAATGTTGAACTTTGATGCAATGTTTCATTCTACTGTGCTAGTTACACAGTTCAATCTGGCATCCCTCAAAAAACAATCTTGGATATGTTGGTCGCTTCATATTCATTGGTGTGCCCACTGTTGGTGAAACTTTAATACTGACGTAGGCAAATGATTTGTTTTTTTTACAAACTATCTAAATAATCCCCCTTCTAATAACTCCCTGTATTCACTGTACAACAGCGGAACTGTGGTGTGTAGTTATAATGCACTTAGTCTCACAAAAATGGTAATGAAATGTACTCTGTTGCTTTTTTTAATTTTTTAAAAACAATTTCCAAACTAGTCCATATTTTGAATTGTACATTATTATTTTGACCCAAGTTATTCCACTCCACATGAAATGACCGTTTGATTTCTGTGGAGCTTAATGTTTGGGATTTATTTCATCATTCTTATAGTATTTATCTAACAAGAAAGTGTAGAAACTGTATGCATGTACTGTAGATGTAAATAATTTGCCTGCCTTGAAGTGAAGTTATGGGAGCACAGAGATGGACAATTGTATGCTTTTTTGGAAAACTTTATTCTGTAATCTGTGAACACTTTGTATGTATTATTTAAATATCAATATTTGCCACAAACTTATATACATAGAAATGTTTGGTTCCTGTGCTTTTTAAACTATTAAAGCTGAGAAAACAGCATTGTTCCATATAATTATTTGTGTTTTACTTTCTGCTCAATTGATTAGCCCCTGTAGGAAACAGTCTGAAAGGGGGGCTTATAATTTTTGGTTAGTCTGTCCCTGCTTTCATATCTCTGATATGCACCGACTAAATTCATTGGAATTTTGTATGATGGAAGGCTGATGGCTGAAGTTTTATCTTGATTCATCCACATTAATGTAGAACAGTACACGAAAGTAAAAATATTGTCATTTTCTTTTTTAGCTCCGCTGTCGACTTTGTCGAGCGGAGCTTATCATATGAGTGATTGTCCGTCGTCGTCGTCGTCGTCC